AGTCCAACTGCTTACTCAGCAAAGACTGAGACAGGGCTTAGGAACCCACCTAAGTTTTAGGCTCTGTGCAAGTTCTTCCACAGACAGACTTCTGCAAAATTCTAAGTAGCAAACAAAAGAGAACCAGCAGTTTTCACTCTAGTTTTTAGAGTCACAATCTACACAGCAAATCAACTGAATATCACTGGATTCACTGAGGGTCTTCAAGCAGGAAATGTGAACTGTTTCTGATATAGTGTGAAGGGGAAGTTGGACCATTTGTGGGACCCACTATGGCCCCTTTCAGTCTTACCTACTTGGTGATTCTGTGAGAATGGACGGTACTGTAGGCACTTCTCTGAACACAGAACCGATGCAGTCATATTTTCATGGGGCTACATGAGCTATTCCTAACACAGAATCCATCCTGTTACAGGAACCTCTCTGGTCACGCATTCCTGGCAAGGTTTATGAGAGCCTTCAGAACAACTTTGTTACTTAGTAATATATCAACCACAGAAGGAAGTGTTCCTGCAACCATTTAGCATCCTTTAGCCAAGATCATTAGCAAGGCAGGCTTTTAGACTTGCTGGTAATATCCATTCTCATATGTGACCAGGTCCCGAGGGGAAACAAAGCTTATCTGCAACAGTAACATTTGAGGGAGGGGCAGGACAAAGATGCAAATGACCCAATGAGATGGGTACACAAGAAAGGAAAAATAACCAAACACAAAAGCCCCAAACAAATGAAACAACAACTAAAAAACCAATAAATAAGCTGAATTTGGCATGGTTATTATGCCTGTTGTCAAACCAAGCGATGTAAACATTCTTGGTTCCCACCTTATTTTGCAGTTTTTCACAAAAAGGCCACAGCCATGACACTTAGCAATAATTGCTTAGACTTTCTTAGTTCTCTATGAAAGTTATTAACTTTTACGAACTTTTTAGGGGAAAATATTTAATTATATCTCTATTACATTTTTTAACTGATTTCATGGAAACAAAACTTTCCAAGAACAAGGAAGTCCAAAGTGTCTGTCTTGCTTAACAATAACCTTACAAACCACCATCCTCCTTCAATGATGTTAGAAAGAGCCATTCAAACCTCAAAAAACCCCTCAAAATAAACTCAGTCCTCCAGAGCACACAAAATTAACTGCTGAATGAGGAAGAAAACAAGCTACTGACCAACACAGGAAAAATCTCATCACTAAGCACATAGAATCATAGAATAGCTTGGATTGGAAGGAACCTTACAGACCATTCCAATCCTCCTGCTGTGGACAGGAAACTTTCCACTAGATCATCAGAGCCCCATACAACCTGGTCTTGAACACCTCTAACAATGGGATTAGTTAGAGGTGTTCAAGACCATAAACTCACATTAGTTAGTTTCATAAACTAATACAACCCCTCTGGGCAACCTGTGCTACTTTCACAGTAAAGAGTTTTTTCCTAATATCTAGCCCAAACCAGCCATCGTTTAACTTAAGGCCATTCCCCCTTTTCCTATCACCACATGTTTTTGTGCAAAGCACCTCTCGAGCCTTCTTATAAGGTCCCTCTAGGTACTGGAAGGTGTTACAAGGTTTCCCCGGAGCCTTCTCCACTCTAGACTGAACAGCCCCAACTTTCTCTGCATAAGAGAGGTGCTCCAGCCCTCTGATCAACTCAGCGACTCTTCTCCTGACTTGCTCCAACAGGTCCACATCTTTCTTGTGCTGAGGCCCCCAGAGCTGGATGCAGTGCTCCAGGTGGGGTCTCACCAAGGTAGAACAGAGCAGAGGGACAGAATCCACTCCACCCTACTGGCTGTGCTCCTCTGGATTGTTCTCATCACTATCATTCCTGCCCAGAGAAAGGAAAGGTGATTAGCTTTCCAGTCACACTATTTTTCCAAGCTGAAACAGTATTGAGGCCAAACAGGAGAGAAAAAGGACCAGCTCTTTGAGTGAAAGTTAACCATCACATCAATTTGGCTGTGTGCAGTAAACTTCACCTTAAGCTTGGAATCATTCATGTCCTGTTAGAGGCTTGCTCCCAGGAGTAATTTGGCTGATGGTGATCTCTTAAAATACATTCAGTGTGAAATATTTCCTCTGCAGTTGTAGGTAAACAAGTCAGTGGAGTTTTTCCTATTATGTTTATTGGATTCTGTGATTCAGGCCTAAGGGTTTTCCAGGGGAAAAATGAGGTGATGCACGCTTCCCAGAAACAAAAACACTGTTCAGCAGGAATACCAAGCAAATCTAATCTGGCATTTTGATTTCTTCTTTTATCACACAACACCTCAACTTAAACTAGACTAGCACTAACTCATACAGGTGAAAAAGCATTAGGAACCTTGTATCTCCTATTTCTCGGGTAGTGTTTTCATAACCACTCTTTCACTAGCTGCCAAGATGACCTTCTTACAGACAGATGAACAATAACAGTTAGTCTAACTGTTTATTACAATTGATTGCAAGCAGATGAGAACATTAGTCATGAAGATCTAACCCAAAGAGTCAGACAATGCAGCCAGATGGAAATTCCTTTGAAAAGTCAAACAGTCCCTCGCCCAGGAAAATATTTAGAAATGGAGTTTGCTGGGAGGGCATAATGGTGTTCAGGTCATAACAGAGAAGAGTTTTGACCAGCTGCTGTTTAAACATGACCAGTCATTTTTCTCCCTCTATTTTCACATGCTTTTTCCTTCCCAAACAACCTAGTTCCATTCCCTTTCCTGCTTTTAATTTCTCCCCTAAGCATCCCATAAGTCCTGTCTTCCTGTGTATGCTGCAATGTGTCCTCTACCTCCAGGCAGCAAAACGAGGAAGTCTGTGAGGTGCTCCAGGATGGGCCCATATTGATGCATTTCTCTCTCATGCCACGGGGATGAGGCTGCCCCAGCACAATGCTGGAAGGGGCCTTTCCTCAGCATCCTTACATTGGGTCTTTGCCTGCCACTGTCCCTTGTGCTCCTCTGGGTTTGAGGAGATAGGATCCAGTGATCCAGGGGCTGGGAGCAGCTGCGGAAAGGGTTACTAAGGCTCCTCCCCACCTGCCAATGTTTCTTTGCACTACCTTGTGGAGCACAGGCAAGTTTTTATCACATAAACTAACAGTTTATCATTACTACTTCTTAAGGAAGAAAAGAGGGCAATGCTGAGGGAAGCAAAGACAATATGGAAGCTAAAGTAGCTAAAGTAGCATCTCTCTGAGAATTTCGGGTTGCCCAAAGTCAAAACTGATTTTCAGGTCTCCACCCTTTATTTTTCTTCTTTTTTCTGCATTATTCATAATTCTTCCATCAGACAATCTTGACAAATAGCCTGGGTAAAACTGTATAATGGTCCCAAGACATGTACTAACTAGATATATCTACTTTGTAAAGAAAGACGTAGTTAAAATACAGGAAAACTAAGAAACTTTGAACCTAGACAAATTCATTTAGGTGAATTCAGATAAGGGATCTCAGTTCCATTCAGCTGACACCTAGTCCTTTGTACCAGACCTTCACCTTTATCCTCTGGATTTTGTTTTCACCTCCCATATGAGCCATGAAATGTTCATATTGTCATCTGCTTTCGTGCAAAATGGGATCCTCAGTCCAAAAGTTCTTTAGCCTTCACTGAAACATAACAGGCTATGTAAGCACAACTACAAGACATTTTGATGCTCACATTTGTTACAGACATCTGTGACAGACAGATTTTTAAAATTATTATTGTTGTTGTTGTTGTTGAGAAAAACAAACCACAAAAAGAAGCAACCAAAAAAATCCAAACCAAACAACCATATTCTATCTCACAAGACCAAAAAAATGTTTTTTTCAGCAAATCTTGGTTCATCCACCAGACTTCAGAGAAGTTTTTAGGAGGCAAGAACACAATGAAATGCAAAATCCTGAAGCACTAAAACTAAAGCATATGTATAGCTTCTGACGCAGTCATTCAAGGCCACTTTTCTCATTCCCACAGGAAAAGTATTTTCTTATTTACAGGAAGAGATAAGGAAAGAGACAGTGTGAGGTGCTTGGTCACAGGATGGCTGGTTTGCACTACAAGAAAGAATGTGTTTATCTCCCTCCTCTGTTTTCAGGAAAGAAGAGTTCTGATTTAGAAGATGGTAATCTCCATGTGGATCCTCAGATATCCCCAAATTAGGGAGGTTATGCATAATATTAGGCAGACACATAATATTAGGTAGACACATAGGATTTGCAACAGTTTGATTAGAGACTCCATCAAATCCTCTCCATCTTCTCTGAGAAGCAATTGTCCTGACCTGTCCTTAGACAAGCTGCACAAAGCAAACAGGTCACTGATCCTTAACCCTGACCTGAAGGTTCTTACACAGGATATTCTCTTCTTCATCACTTACAATCAATCCATACTGCTTAATCTCCACTTGGAATTTTTATTTTTTTTCCCACAACAATCAAATATTTCATGGGTTTACTAGGAAATGACAATGGAAGGAAAAGAGGTATGAGAGTGTATAAACAGAATAGAACCACTGAACAGTGAATCAGATCCACTTTGTTACGCAGCACTAAGCTGCTTCTCATGTTACTTTAGTAGATGAAAGGACTGGTCCTTATTTGATTTAAATCACTGCTCCATTTAATGCAATAGATCCATACACATGTATGCGAAATTAAAATTAAAAACACATCTGTGGCAAATCAATGTGCCAAATCTACCATAGTCCTTCTGATTCTCTTTTCAGTCTTTCAAACACAAAGACATCCCTACCACATATTTCATTCATAAACTAACTTCTCTGAAGACCTCTGTGTGTAGATAATTTGTGACAATAGCACAACATAACTACAGCCTTAGCATCAGCAGAAGCAAAACAAGAATAATTGTGGGAGAGTTCTTATATAACTAGGATACTACTGTGTAACTACTGAAGTCATTCACTGGTTTGCTAAAAGAAACTGCTTATCCATAGCAATTTTTCACTCGGTCATACTATAATAGATGCTTCCAAGCATCAACAGGATTTATTTTTCCTTTAAAAAAATACCTTCTTTCATTGTGGAATTCCTTCACTGCTTGCATCTGTCATGGTTTAACCCCAGCTGGTGACCAAGAACCACACAGTCACTCACTCCTCCCCCTTCCCCAGTGGGAAGGGAAATCTGAAAGAAAAGTAAAACACACTGGTTTAAGTAAGAACAGTTTAAGAAATGACACATAATGTAATAGCATCATCATCATCACAATGATAAACAACAACAACCACAAAAATAGTGATAAAGAGGAATAAAACCCAAAAAAGATAAGAGATACACAATACAATTGCTCATCACCTACTGGCCAGTGAAAGAGCCGCAGCTCCTGTACAACTCCCCCCAGTTAATACACTGGGCATGATGTTCTCTGGTGTGGAATATCCCTTTGATCAGTTCAGGTCAGCTGTCTTCGCTGGGCTCCCTTCCAACTTCTTCTGCACTTGTTCATTGGCAGAACACAGGAAACATCAGTTCTAATGGCAACAGCCAAATCACTAATGTTTCATCTACACTATCCTCCTGCTGAATCTAAAACACATTGTGCAATTAGGAAAAAAGCAAATCCTATTACAGATGAAATCAGGACAACATCAAATATTTCTGAACTTATACATTTCCCATATTCTTTTTCAAATATTTCTGTAATTATGCAGACTGAATAACATAAAGGTAAATCACTTTTGTTCATTATTAGAATTAGCAATCCATAAAGATTCCCACAAGAAGAAAAGCAAATCTGCCTGCTGAATACTTCGTAATTTTTGCTTACCTTAATGGTTAATTCAGTCTTTGTTTTCAACCACCAGTGACCTCCTATATTGTGATTATAGGAATGAGTTCTAAAGGTGGTACTGCGCTAGAGGAAGTCAGCGATACATAGAAACATGGCTCTTTGCTAATGCATATTCAGGAACCAACCAAGCACTTCAATTTCAAGACACAGGGCTTAGTGGCACTTTCTTAAAAGTGTCATTATCAAAGGCTCAGATTGATTCAGACACTTAGAATTCATCCAGTGGTGCCTACCTGCAATCCTACTACAGCCTGGACCAAAGACCTGATAGTCAGAGAAGTACATCAGCCAGACCCTGAAAGAAAAATTTCTGCCTTACACCAGCTGGAGTAGTCCTGAAGATGGGACATTTTCCTACCAACACAAGTGAATTTAATCTTCTTGAGAGCTTGTTTTCACAAGAGTGATATCCAGGTATTAGAAAGATTATTTACTTGCTCACAGAATAGTCTTGTTAAGGTTTAGGGCTTGTCATGCTTCAATGATCACAGACCTAGCAGGAGGTTAGCAGAGCTGGGGGAGAATGATGTGCCACTGAGAGTAGACACAAAGAATGCAGAATTTATAGGAGACAAGGTCATCTGGCAGAACTCCCAAGATAAGGAAGTAAAAAAGCCAACACTTCAACGGGGTAAAAGGTAATTCTGGCAAGGGAAAATAACAACCACGGACTCAAGAAACACACTAACTCAAGGAAGAGAAAGACGGAGCGAGCAGACTAATTAGCAAAAGAAGCAAGGGAATAATTAAACCAAGAGAAGACAGAACACCAATTAATAGCAGAATTATGTAACTTGTAACAAATGAACATTAATGTCTTTGTTTGCTAAAATGTAGAAACAGTAAAAAGCTTTGATAGTCTGTGTGCTGGGTTTGCGGGTTTGTCACCCAGCACCCCTTTCTAGCAGAACTCTAAATAAATCAAGTACCTCAGCTTTGTGTGTGGATCAGCCTCTTGCATTAACAGGTGAAAGAACCCATTTTGGGACAACAATCTAGGTGATCCAAATGGGAACTATAAAGCCTTCCCTTGCCTGGATCACCTTGCTGCTACCAGCAAAGGAGAATCAGATCAAATAGAATTTGCACCAGTTTGGTTGGAGACTCCGTCAAATCCTCTACCAGCATCGAGGTGGTGAGCAACTCAAAGGTAAAACATTCCAGAGATATTTGAACAAGGGCAAAAGTCATGTGAATTTCTAGACTGGTGAGTATCAAATTTCATTTTGTTGTAATTGATCAGTGCGAGCAGTCCTGGGCTGACCAGCGGGATTGGTAGTTGAAAACTTCAAGCTCTGTGTAAATTGGATAAGGAAGATTTGGAACAGTGACTATCACTGTACACAACATAAATAGTGTGTGAAAGAGAGGAGGTGTCCTCCTATCTTTGCTGACACAAGGTCAGGGCACTGTGTAAATATCAACAGGGCATCAGAACTGGGAAATAAATAAATAAATGCCTAGGCATTAAAATTGTTACAGACAAAACTGTGTGATGGAAGAGAGGGCTTTTCCTTCCTCTGACAACAAGGAGTTGGACCAGAGAGTAAAAAATTATTTGTATTAGAAGTCTGGAACCTAAGGATAATGGAATTGGGCAATGGAGTACTGGCAAACTAGTCCAACAATTCTACCCTGTAGCTCTTGGGGTTTTATTTTGAAAACCTGGGGGAAATCCAATGACTAAAGACAAAATGCATACATACTGTAAGCAGTAGTGGACACCTTATAAATTGGTGAATGGGGAAAATGGATTTTTGTAGTTTTATTTTAGAATTGGTGTTTTGTTGCTGACTTGGTAAATGGGTTTATGCTGATGCTTTTATGACACTGTATAGAGACCCAGGTATTCAGAAAAAGTATATGCTGGGAGGAGATACGCTGATGTCATGTACTAAGGCAAAGGTCATGTGTTGCAGGGGGGATGAGCCAGAAGATGCATGAGTGTTAGTTCCCTCCTTTTCCCACCATATAACATAGGAGTGGGGATGGATGAAGAGAATATGGATCAATATAAAGAACATATAAGAAGTATGGATTTTAGTCCTTTTGCTGGCCAGACTCAGGGAAATAAGCAAGCAGGGATACAACAACTTTAAAAAAAGCGGCAGGGGTCTGCCAGGTTTTATACATGTCCTTTCTTATATTTCATAATTGTCAAATTGGAAGTGATCTGTTGGTTTCAGCTTTTGAAAACTGTTAACCTAACAGTTAGGTTACCCTAGCTGGGGTCATACTTAGGCTAGACTGATTACCATGTTACTGTGGAAGGAAAAGAGACTGGCATTACAAAGGTGAAAGAAACATGATAGCCCCAAGCAAGGGGCTTGGGGCCTGAAAGGCCCCACTTCCCCTGCACTAATACACACACACACTCTTCTGGCCTAAATCAATGTGATATTTGTAGGCAGTAAGGGTCACTGAAAACATGGAAACATTATGATGCTGGAGAAATTTTTTACAATGAATGAGGGGACCGGGGAACATATCAAGGAACCTCCAGGAGACCCTGTAGTTTCAGGAAGACCAGAGAAAAAAAAAAAGAAATTTTTATAAATAGCAGAGACACATATTGAGTAAAAACTATCTGTAAGGGTGAAGGGAAGCTACAGCTTCTGATTTTTGGGGCAGCTTTATGGCCATTCCTGCAACTCACAGAGTAGCCAATTGGAGACATTAAACTCACTCATGAGTTTCTATATGCCAGAATGTTGCTGTCTTTTCTAGGATGAGATTTATTATGCAAGTTAAATGCTTGAGTCAGAAGGCCCTATACATCTCACAAGGTAAGGCACAGAAGGCTTAATAGTGACCCAGACCTCAGAGGAACAAGAGAGTCAGAAGGAACAGGATTTAAGAGCAATAAACCAAGTAACTGTGGACGATTACTGATGTGACTGGTTTGGATTTAAAAGACGCTTTCTTCTGCATTTCAGTGGATGAGCAGAGCCAGATTCTCTCACAAACCAGGTGAAAGAACCCACTTTGAGACAATGGGAGGAGGCTTCAGAACAAGAATAATCCTACTCTGAAATGTAAGGCATTCCCCTTCTTTAGGTAAAAGCATGCTTTCCTTAATGGATTTAAAAATTGAGGCTGATTCATCAAGTGATGGAGTAGAACAAAGCTTCTCTGAACAGTGAACTATCAGAGATTTTGGAGAAAACGGCATCTATCTCAAGAGTTTTATATACTTCTTTTTTTTGCCAACATAGTCATAGCAACATGTGCCCCTAGTGATTCAATGATTGTGTCAACAAAAAGGTTATTTTGCTAATAAAATTTAAGCCATTGCCCAAACAAAACAATTTATCCTACTAAAAAGATATTTGTTCTTAAATCAATAAAATTACATCTTGCTTTGGTTGCATATCTGTTAGCCAGGGATGTGATTATCTTTTACTGTCTTTGCCAACTTAAGCATAAAAGTAAAATTTTTCAAGCAGGATCACCAATTCTAGTAAGAATATAAGAAGATGAAATGTTCTTACCACATTCTAACCTGCTAATCTGCCAATATCCTGTGAATCACTGGATTGACTGATTTACTCATTTTTCAATTAAATACAGCAGAAATGAGCAAAACCTTTGCAACCGTGTGAAACTGAAATAAACAGTAAACCTTGGCAGGACCATAGTTGTTAGAAAGAGCAACTCCCACACAGTGAGTAATACCCAGCGTGTTGTACAGATGAAATAAATTGAGAGATGTGAAAGAGAAGCATAAAAGCAAGACAAGACAACCAAGAAACTGCAAGCTTACAGATCTGCAAAAAGGAAAGGAAAATAGTGCTGACTGCTTCATCAGCATGACCATTATGGTTCAGAGAAGTTTACTGCAAATTTGCATGATAATGGCACTGTACATCAAAATCTCACGTTCAGTTTGTCTTTTCCAAGGACACAAAGTGAACTACCATATCATGAGCTTTCTGTGGAAAATGGGTGGTTATTTTCCCCAGCAATGTCTCAGCGACACAAATGATTTCAGATTCCCTGTAGAGATTACCAAGGTCACAGAGAAGAACATCACAAGGATCATCTATGAATTTCTTCAACACATCTTCCAACTATTTAGCAAAAATCTTCCTGTTGATGTTTGGAATACAAGCAAGATTGAGAGCTTCCAAAATGGAATTCATCATCAAATTGAAGAACTGGAGACATGTTTGTCAGAAGAACAATCAAAAGCAAGAAACAGTTTTCAAACATGGATCCTAAAAAGCTCGACATATAGCATAAAAAAGTACTTTCAAAGAATCACCAATTTCTTAAAAGATAAGCAATACAGCCATTGTTCCTGGGAAGCAGTTCAAATGGAACTGAGAA